CCAGTTATCATACCTAACGACACTCCCAAACAGAAAAGAGCGATATCTGCAAAACTTTTCTCTTGTCTTCAGACAATAAAAATACTTCTAAGATGAATACTATCATAGATACAAATACTGAAGAGCAAGATAATAACAGAAATAATGAAGAACAAGAAAGTAATGACGATATTATAGTTAAGTACAGGTCACAAAATTACCCTTCTTCTCAGCTTACTTCCATATACTTTTATTTTTTTGTCATGTAAAATTCAATCTATGATTAAAAATTTATCCCAACAAGCCTGCCCAACGAAGCCGGGCAGGCACAAATTAAACTTCTAGTTTCAATGATAAAATCGGATTTTGTATTGCAATTAAGTCATATTTCGTTTCTCTTGGGTTCTGTCTCTCCTTTCCAAGCTTTCGTTTTTTATTATTGCGAGCATGCCGTGATATCTTTTTATTAGGCACCACCTCCGTCGTAACACCCGTCCGCTTAATATTAGACATAATGAAGATTGGTATTTTATTATATGCGGGAGATACAAAAGCGACACTATTCGACGAGCCGTTAGGATTTTATTCCTAGAGCCAATGTCCTACTCAAGACGAATAGCGTATACTTTTACGAAAAAACCGTGGGAATGTAAGTAATCGTCGTTACCGTTACATGATTTATTTCGGGCATGAAATCTATTTCGGGATGTACTACAAGCATATGATTAATTTTCCGGTGTGACTATATTAATATGGGTGTACAACTCGATATTCGATTATGTGTCCAAAAAATAACACGTAAAGTGTATTCGAAAAATATATTGCACAAAATTACAGCCACTAGGGCCACTTTATTGATACGGTAAAAATAAAAAGCCCATCAACATCTAAAATTAAATCTATCATTTACCCAGCTATCTCCTATTCTCTCCCCCTCCACCTACTATATTTATCTAACTGGTCAGTTGTAACATGTTAAAATTAACTATAGCTGTTTATCAGTAGTTAAGCAATAAAATCTTATAATATCGGTAAAAATAAAAAGCAAATTACAGGATAACTGTCAGTAAAAACTATTTTTTGTTTATCTTGGATTTTTTTCTCTGTGGGGGGTTCAGTGATGATATAGATGGTCTATACGGTGATCTTGGCGGAGAGTTGATCGTTGATACTGTTGAGCCTTGTGACGAAATCGACATATTTGATGATTCTGAAATGATTGACATTGTATCTGCAGTATCATCAGAATTGTGCATAATCTTACGTACTGTACAGGCAATCGCAGTTCGAAAAGTTAATAGCATATGGATAAGATTATACACAAGGTCTGGTTTCGTAGCTGGAACGTAAAGAGGGATAACTGCACGTTCAAGTAAGCAATTTTTGTAAATACCGGCCTCTTTATGCATACAACGAAATTCCATTGTATCCCCTGCAACATTGATGGAGAAGACCGACAACATGCTTTTCATTGCTAAGCCTCTAAATACCCTCTCATTTTTTGAAAATCTGGTAAAATCAATTGAATCTTTTGATAGTCGATTCAATTTCTTATGGTCCCGCAACTGTTGCTTAAGTGTAGAATCTGGGCGTCCCGTCTCAAGATAGCCCATCTCGATCTTTTTTTCTTTTATCGTAACGACAACAAGAAAATCAGGTTGTCTTGCTTGTTTTGAAGAGCCTTTCCGCTCTGTGCTTGCTGTACTAGCTTCGTCCCCCCTAAAAAGTTTGGAACTTCAAGTTACTAGACGTTCTTTTCACATGATAGATTGAACTTGTTACTAACCAAACACCCCATATATCAGTATTTACTGGCAAGTCTTTCATTGCAATATTCAACAATGGAGATAGTATTTCGCATACGTAAGAGCCTTCATTTATAGATGGATTTTTTGTTTCCATGAACAATCTCCATTTTGGAGACTTCCAAGCTTGTCCTCTAAAATAATACAGTTAGATAGTGTTAGTGTGAGTTTGTATAGGTCGACGAGGCTGGAATATGAAACGTACAATACTTCTAGCATTTGATTTGTTAATGTCCGCTGAGAAAGATCATGTTTAAGAATAAAGTAAAAGCATTCGTAAATAAGTACGTTCGCTTCTTTTAATCTTTCAGGTCGGTCTAAAAATTCGCCAAAAGACACATCACCTGAATCTTCAAACATCTTTGTAGAAATTTTCTTATTTTCTTTTAAAACATAATCCTCATAGATGTTTTTTAGTATCTCGCAATGCCGTATGTGATACTTTTTGCTTGACGCTTTGAATGCCTCCCGAGACCGTTCTGAAATTTCTGTAATAGGTGTCGAGCAGTCATCTAATATTCCTGAACATAAAGGGTGATCATACCCAAAATTTTCTACTTTTATCGACTTTAATTCATCTTCCACGGCTCTCCACATTACCTGCATATCCCCCAAAGTTGATATTGCGAGCTAAATTTATAAATGGTGGATGCTTAGTTATAGGCGATTAATAAAGTATGTTTCCCCGGGGCGCAAACCTTATGAACATCGCGTTTTAAAACCTCAAAATTAATGGTCGCATCATCAACCCAAGTCACGTCAGCTTTCTATTAGACATAAGTCAATAAAGCGTTGATATCAATAAATCCAACCAGAGATTATCGTATTATCCTTACAAGGCATCCAACTGTATCATACCGCAAATGTACTCAAATGCTTCTGAAACCTAAAAATACCATCAAATTAGTGCTTTAAAGAAACCGAATCATAAAATATAAATATAAGGCGAATGCATTCAGAATCAGCGAGCCCCTATTATCATATGTTTTTTCAAACCGCCGGCGTAAAAAAGAAGTTGAAACCTTAAAGATTCATATATAGCATGACAACATATAACCGATTACTGCCAACGAGCCCACAGTATAAACACTATTAAAATTCCACAGATAATTAATCACATCATGCCCTCTTGAATCAGTTAATTAATGTAAATACTATGGAGGCGAAGTCCATTCACCGATATGTTGCATACATTTCATCAACTACGGTTTTAAAGGGCTAATATCCATCATGTTCAAGCTATAATACACGATATAAGAAATAAAACTTACACGTTGTTTTAACGTAGCTCCGCTCCCAAAACTATTAAGTATTTTCAAACGCTCGTTATCACTCCGAGGAACTGTTTCTAAAACATATCTAAGAGACGCCACAAAATTTTCTGTTTCTTTTTCGCAGTTATTCGTCCACTCTCCTTCCTCAATACGCTTGTATAAGGCAGTGCGGATGTTGATAGCCGAAACAGGTTCGTAAGATAATAAGAAAGCTTCCATTTTTAATAAGTAACAATAAATTCGTATACTGTCCTTATAAACGTTCCCTCCGCTCATGGGCATTTACAGAAATTGCACAAAGTACCACGAGTTAACCAGCCAGATTTGGAATTTATAGTAACAATCAGCAGGTCATACGATTACATCATGCATAAAAAGTTCCACGACCTTCGATTTTATTCTGTGATATATGTTGATCGAACATCTGTGTTACGCAATCGATAGTAACAATCAAATAATCAGCAGGTCGGCATTTGGAAATAACAACCAAACATTTGGGTAAATTTGTTACTTTTTCAAACGAAGTTCTGCATAGCGGGACGAGGTCTAACCCCCCTCTTCATTTATAGGTTCCACTTGAGGTGGCTGACTATCTCCAACGTCAGGCATACTAAGATCACTGTCACTACATGATGTAGATGTATTAAGTTTTGAGATCATATTTGCTAACTCAGATGAAGATGAGTATGTTGCATTATCTAAATTTCCACCTACATCATTCGCGTTACGACAATCCCCACTCACATTATTTACATTGTTTCCATTGTTTCCATTATCTCGATTATTACCGGTGGTGACTATATCACTGATATCCTCATTCCTTCCACTAGTAGCCCATCGTATGGGTGATGCGGATCGATTCCTTTGATTAGTGGTGGATTCACGGCGACTCGTACTTAGAATTGATGACACTTCATAAGTTGGTGGTGGGGTACGGTTACGGCGACGTTTTCTAGTGGATGTATTTGTATTATGCAATATGTCGAATGGAGTTTCTATATTTCATATACGAGGCAAATTCATGAGTTATCTATATATTTACTACTACGGTGATAGATTGTATCATAGATGAACTTACCAGGTCTCACCCAAAAATGAGAATTAAATTCTTTAAAATATAATAAACCCCGGAAACTCAATTCGCTTATCGATATTTTTATTATGTCTATTCTTAATTTCCTTTTCCTATTAC